AGTACAACTTTAGTACGCGGAGCAATCTGTAGAGCTGGAAGCTGAGACCTGGCGACTTTGTAGTACAACTTTAGCACGCGGAGTATCTGGCAAGCTGGACGATGAGAACTGGCGACTTTGTAGTACAACTTCAGCACGCGGAGCAATCTGTGCAGCTAGAAGCTGAGGACTGGCGACTTCGTAGTACAACTAGAGTTGTACTGGCGAACAGTGTAGTACGCGGAGGAGTCATCTCTCGCTGCTCATTCATCTCTCGCTGCTGAGTCAGCTCTCGCTATAGCCATCTCTCGCGGCTGAGTCATCTCTCGCGACTGAGTCATCTCTCGCTGCTGAGTCATCTCTCGCGGCGTGCACGTTCAGTTCATACTGATAGTATTTGGTTGCAGGTTTGCAGGACAGGACATTCAACCGCTGGTCAAGACACCACTCATCATACACCAGTCAGCATACACCACTCATCATACACCACTCGTCATACACCACTCATCATACACCACTCAACATACACCACTCATCATTCATCACTTGTCATACACCCCTCATCATACAAGACTCATCACACATAGTCTCAGAGTTCAAGACAGATTTTACATTCAAATTCGGATTCCATTCAGTCCGATGTGTGATATGCAAGGTTTGCCGCCACTGAAGAATGCCACGGTGGGATGTGTGTCGATGTGGACCGCATCCTTGGCAAGTCGTGGTGGCCGGATGTGTGTCATCTCTCGCAGGGGGCACACACACCTTACACACGTGGAATCCCGTGGGTCAAAAGTCCGGAGCGCGTGCGTTTGACTGGAGGACGCGCATGTTGGAGAGAACGTGGACACTCCTATAGGTCAATTTCTTCTTATAGGAAACTTCCGCCGCCGGCTGCCCGGGAACTACTTGTAAGGCACTTGTTACTAGTAGCGATGCACTTGTTACTAGTAGCTTATTGTGCAGGTGGAAGAAAGCTCTGAGCACACCACTTCCAAGTCATCAGATGAGGCACCGTAGTGAGAGCCCAAAACCGCCAGCTTGGGATCGGATCAGTGCGCGCGCTCTTCACGTGCAGAGCCTGACCCAGCCTTTTTTGTGTGATGGTACCTAAGAATAATCCAGGCCAGGTCCATAGTATGCCATAGATGTCCATAGGGTTCCGTGGTGGGACCTGTTTTCATATGTTTTCATGCTAGAAACCTGAATCCTTGGAGGTCTGTCCCTGGCTAGCCCGCCCGCTCCGCACCACTCGATCCGAGAGGCGTCCGACAGTGACGGTGACAAGGAGATCAAAGAGCCGGAGGTGAAGGAAGACAAGGACAATGGATGGCTGGTGGCTAGGCAGTCTAGGCACAGCGTCAGTCCCATATTTAGTGTTCAAAGAGGTGTGGAGGGCTGAATTCAAGGGCTGAAGAGCCAACGATTCGACTATGAACTCATCAAAGACAAATTCTTGTACCGATACAGACCATACAGATCGTCATGTTCAATGCTCGAGGACAAGGAAGAGGAGAAGGAAGAGGACAAGGAAGAGGACAAGGAAGAGGAGAAGGAAGAGGGGAAGGAGGTCAATCAAGACCAGGAGCTGAAAAATATTCGCACTTCAAGCTGATTGCCTAATGGATGCAAGAGTTGGATTCGTGTTTCTTTCAGTTTGTTTGTTTCTTGTTGGCCCCCTCCGACATGAGAAGCTCATCAATTTTGTCTTTCTTCGCCAGGAGATGAAGGAAGAGGAAGCTGATGAAGGACGTTGTGGCTACGTCGGGCATCGCCCGGTTGGCCAGTGGTTGACTCTCGGTTTCTGACAAACATCTCCCGCAACAGCAGCAGCATAAACAGGTCAAAGATGGTCGTCTTGCCAGATGCAGGGGGCATGGGGCTGGGACTGTTGCCCGGTTTTGCTTACACATGGCTATGCAGGAACCATGTGCAACACTTTGGACTTTCGAGTGAGTTCGCGAAAACCTAGCCGGAAATAGACGACCTGTAGAACGATAGGGGACTCACATAATATCGCTGGTTGTGAACAGGCCATGTTTATTATACAACGACCGCGGTTCATATTCAGTATGCGTAGGAATTCTGCAACTTCAACTTCGGTCAGACAATCAGTTTGAAGCTGCAATTCTCGGAAGACTGGGCCACCACATCCTAGTTTGCCAGTATGGGGATCAAATTGGAACATGAGACAAGCAGCTTTCAGCATTCATACGTGATCCATGACACTGGTTGTCTTGACAGGTATTCGTTCGGTGCATGTTTGGAAGGCAACATGCTTGGATTCGGCATGCAGAAAGACTCACCTCCATAGACCCCTGGCCGCAAAACGGTTCACCGGCCGAATCCAAGCGCACCCAGTAGCATCCATACTTCCCTAACTCACAGACTGCAGGACAAGTTGAGGATCGGGAGGAGGCACAAACGGAGGAGAGGGACAGAGATCTGTTGGCCTTAGTTTTGGTTCAATCGGTGGTTCCGTGCAATAGACACTTGTAAATCATGACTTGGGCAACCCAATACTGCAAAATCTACGTTCTCCCATTCTCAACTTGGAGCTGTGCTTTCCGCAAGCTGCCAGCTATAGCACAAAGGGGTTTTCTTTGCAACAGCTCTTCAATTCTTCCTCATTTCCAGATGGTGGAACATGTTGTTTCGACTGCCCGGAAGGCACTTCAGTCTTACGAGTCGAGACGTGGTTCTTTCATATTCTTTCGTCCGTCGGGTTTTGCGTCTTCCGCCAGTCTCGCTCACGAGTTCCATCCTTCCGCCTCTAAGTTTCTAGAGACCTAAAAATGAGGTGCAGGAGATCGGTCTGGAGCTCTTGAGATCCAGACGCTTGGAGTTTCCATCCGATCTGCGGACTGAACATGGAGAAACCTCGCGCGGAAGCGACCCAAGGAATCTCAACGATCCGCCCTGCACATGACTAAAGTCGCAGATTTCGCCTTTGAAGGTCCCTGAACACTTGGGGACTGTAGGGCTCGGGGGGGGCTGCGGCAGGAGCCTAGCTGCATCTACTTCCACAACGTGCCCTTTGAGGTCGGCAAACCCAGGTATTTTCATCACAACACTGATGAGTATTTCATGGATTTCTTTCTGATTTCATTTAGCATCATCCTCTAATTCCCCAGATAGTGAGAGCTATTAGGGTTCTTACTTTAAGCATAGGAAGCTGGTGTTGCTGCGGGTGCCGCCGGTGCTGCTGCGAGATGTCGCTGTGTGTGCCTTGGAGCGTTGGTGCCGCTGCGGGCGCCGCTGTTATAGTGCTGCCCACCAGCTTTTGCTGTTTGGGATCTGTGCTGACGTTGCTTCTTGCCATGGACAGTTGTGTGCAGCTCAGGTCGATGAAGAGGACGCGCCCTCTGCTTTCGGCCGCCGCGCAAGATCGTTCGCGTCGACGCGGACCCACTGAAAGCGATGGCTTCCTTGCAGGATCTGATGCCGCTCTTCGAGCGTGCTGGGAAGGCCAGCGACGATGGTAAAGCCATGGGTGTTGACACGCGTTGGGGGGTCCGCCCATTGTTTGTGGAACGATGGAAGCATACCACGAGAGGTATATGCTGAAAGATGCTGAAATAATGTTTGATTTGCTTGTAATTAGTTTGTATCTGATGATATCGTATTATTACATTTATATAGTTGCGAGGCATTGCATTAAACCCGAATCGAACCAGAGCTTCTTCTTTGGGTACTTCGATCAACCTACATGCTTTTCTGGGGATGGCCCAAGGTGAGAGCCATGTGCTTGTTCCGGCTGAAAGATGGCCGTTCAAGGGGCCCGGGCCTGAGACAACCAAGAAAGCATCTTCCAGGACCTTCGACTTGTGACCTCTTTAATTAGATCTCAAAAGGTCACTGGGAAGGCCTTGGTTGCGAGAAGTTCGGGTTTGAAACCAATCTGAGTATTGCTCAAAGTTGGCAAAAGGAGAAGTCAACCAACACCTGTAAGTTTTGGGGTTCCATTATTGGGTACCCATGAAGGACAAACCCTGCAGACTGGACCTGCGATCCAGCTGAGTGTTCGTGAACATGTTCCGCCGACAGTCCGCCTGAAGGTCAAGGCCTTTGTCAATTCAATGCCTCGGGCACCGCAAGCAAGGCTCAACAGCTTGTATGCTTAGCAGTAGGACGGTTCAAAGAGAACTTTAGAGCCTGGTGTTTGCTCTCCAAAAGACATTGGGTGACCTGCAGTGCCTCCAGAGTCTTTGAAAGACTCTCGAAGACTTTGAGAGTCAGATCTTGTCCAGGCCGTTGACATGCTCTCTGGTTGTTTCTTGGCAAACCCACTCAACGAGTCCAGCAAGGCGGGTTTTTGTTAACCAATGAGAGAGTTCTGTTAAAAGCATGCTTGTTTCCTGGTTCAACACGGGCTTCAGGAAGTCCCGTGGCTCGTTTATCTCTGTTTCCCTTTTCGCTTGTGTTCCAAGCGCCGGAAAAACTTGATCACGTCTTCAGGATCGCTTGGATCGATGTTCGATATTCCCTAGCCAGCTGATCTGTCATAGGAACAAGTGCATCGCTACTAGTAACAAGTGCCTTACTAGTAGTAACAAGAAGCTATTAGAAACATTAAGCTACTAGGAACAAGTGGATCACTATAGTTTGCTTGCTTCGATCAATTGATCCCTCCGGCCTTCAGGATTCGCGTGAGCTCTTCGTGAAGCTCCATCGAGGAAGTGCGCCGATGGGGCCGCTGACTGACTGGGAGATTTGGGGAGACATGATAGAGAATTATGTGTATGATCGGGATAGATGCGGAATGAGGCTCCAGAAAAGGGACATTGGATTGCACCATCATAGTTATCATAGTTGGATCAATGTGGGTCTTGTCGCCGGAGCTAATCGTGGAGCAAGCGGGTTTACCAACTCCAAGCAGACAAGACATGATGAGAACAGGAACAGTAGGTCACAACCGGTGTATATATATAATATATGTATTCGCTTGCGTTTGCTCAAACGACCGGGATAGACGCCACAACCTGGTAACCTTCCCAAAAAGAGATTGTCTTTGGATCTTGTTTCTGCTAAAAGCATTTCAAATCTATCTTTCTTTCTTTCGTTCTTTCTCCCTCTCTCTCTCTCTCTGTCTGTCTGTCCGTCTGTTTGTCTGCCTGGCTGGCTGGCTGGCCGGCGGGCGGGCTGGCTGCCTGCCTGCCTGCCTGCCTGCCTGTCTGTCTGTCTGTCTGTCTGTCTGTGTGTCTGTCTGCCTATCCATGCACACAGGCACATCCACGCACATCCACGCACATCCACTCATCCATCACATCCCTCTCTCCCTCCCTCCCTCCCTCCCTCCTTCCCTCCCTCCAGACAGACAGACAGACAGACAGATTTGTTGTCACCGCTGGGGCTGATGATTCATTTCTGGGCACTTCAGATTGTCTGAGAACATTTCCAAGGCCATATGTTTCCCCATTCATTGAGATCTGCTTTTTCTTCTTGAGGTACAGAGATCCTTGAGTCGTCGAAAGCCGTGCCAACCTTGGACACAACGAACAAAGGCATCTATCCAATAGAAGTCCGTCCAAAATCACAACTGCTCCATTGATTCTTTGGCCTCGATTCAGGTCTTCTCAAAAGAAATGAAAAATGATCGATCAATGACGAAAAACATAGAACTAAATTGGTTCTCAACAACACATGTTATATCTTGCATCCATGAGAAGAAATTGAATGTAAAGGAATGCTGTGAAGCATTTTCAGGGTAAACCATGACCTAGATGTGCATCACTAGCATTGCTGTTTATGCATGAGACCCGTTGCAGCCCTTTGTGATCCAGGACAAAGTTCGCATGGTAGCGGAGCAAGGATAAGGGTAACCCCTTTGAGCTCCAGGAAGAAAGTTCCTAGGTTACTGGGATCCCGGGCGCGATTTCGAGCCATAGATTTGGTGCCTTTGGAACCCAAACAGCAGGACTGGTGATAAATTGTTGTGAGCGGCACTCTGTACCCCGTACGTTGTGCCAGAAAGACATCAGTACAGATTGGAAATGGAGGAGATCAGAGAAATATTTCAGACTATAGCGCGGAGCATGCTAGCAACAACATCAGCAGCTGAGGCAGTGAAGAAAGCAGTTGAAGACAAGAAGCCATCAACAACAGATTGGTCAAAATTGATAGCAAAGCCCAAACATTTTTGACTATACATCACAAGAAGAAGAGATCAAGGCATTTAGAGAGTGGTCATGTGTGTTTGAGAAATATTTCAGTGCAGTTGATGAGGCTTACATGAAGGACTTGAAGGAGATTCACGACAAGCCAAACGAGAAGTTTGACATGGATTTGGCAACTACAGGGGAGAAGACCAGGCGCATCAAGCTCCATGGATTGTTAGCTTCATTGATGAGGGGAAGAGCATTGGAATTGGTGAAAGCGGTGGAGGACTCCAACGGATTTGATTCCTGGAGGAGTTTGAACAAGGCTTTGAAACCTACTTCACAAGCTAGAGGATTAGCGCTCTTGGGAGCAGCTACTACATGGCCAGCATTCTCAATGAACAGTACGCAACAGGCAACAACATCAACTTCTGAAGCTCGAAGAAGTACTTGATGAGACGGTCAAGGCACGGACGACAATTCAAGGAGAGTTGAAACCTGCTATCTTGTGAGATGTGTAGGTGGACAACTCAAGTCATGCTTGAATTTGACAACTGGCGACAATGTTCAATACTCAACTTTGAGGGGGCAAGTGTTGCAATGGGATCGTTCTCAGCAGGAGTGGGCTACTTCTTCCATGGTGGCCCAAAGGACTACTTCCATGGTGGCCCCCAGGAAATGGTAAGAATGGCGCGAATGACCATCGAAAGGGCAAAGGTAAAGATGCCAAAGGCAAAGGAAAGAAAGGAAAGGAGACCAGAAAGGTAAAGGTGTGGCAACATGTTACACTTGTGGAAAGCCAGAACTTCTTGCTCGAGACTGTTCGAGGAACAATATTCGACAGGTTGCAAGTGATCCAGCCCATTCATCTTCAGGAGGAGCGTAAGTGTTTATTCATACAGTTGGTCAACAACAAGCCAACGTTAGCCAGCAGAGTAGTACCAAACCAGTGGCCAGGAGAACTGAGAACAGTGAACCAATCATTTTTGACTTGCGAGAAAGGGATGATGGGGTAGTGGAATTCGAGCAATTCACTTCTACACTGGAGATGATGGTTGTGAGCCAGAAATGGAAGATTGCAGGGTGATCGACATCTCAGATGATGTTTCCGTGGTGAGGAGACTTGGGAAGGAGAATGAGGATGTGGTTACCATAATTAGCAGTGGAGCTGATGAAGCAAGTGCAGACGCAAATGAAAACAGCGGCGTGTAGCGTGTTTTCCTTGATAACACGCATATGGCTTCGGCGTGCAAAATGAATCGTATACATATCACACCAAGCTCAACTATGTCTTAACAATGCATTATTATCTACATCCTCGACTTGTACATCTTGTAGCTCAAACGTTTTATATATTATTCTGGCGAGTTTTCTATTTTAACTATAATTTATTTTTAATTAATTTTATTGAAATATAAATGGA